TGTGTGTGTGTGTTTGTGTGCATGCTTTACTCGTATTACAAGCCTATGTTGCTTTAACTCACATTAGTCTTTTCACTAACCCTCTATTCTCTCTCTCTTCCTCCTGCACTCTCTAACTTTGTGGCTAAGAGCCCAGGCAGTAAGTACACATTCCTCCACGACACGTCACTGTGATGTGTATCTTTCCTTCTTCTCTCTCTGTGAACTTGTTCTGTTCTCATGTGAGATGTGATGCTGTGGTGCCATTTCTTATTCCTCTGCACAATTTAAAGTTTTTTTTTCCTGCATATCCCAGTGCCCGAGGCCCCCGATCGCCCCACCATCTCCATGGCAACTGAAAGCTCGGTGTATGTCACCTGGGTCCCGAGAGCAAACGGCGGCTCTCCAATCACGGCTTTCCGGGTGGAATACAGGCGCGGCCGCGTGGCAGAGTGGGTCGTGGCTGCAGATAACATCTCACCTCTCAAGCTGTCTGTGGAAGTTCGCAATCTGGAGCCTGGTGAGCTTTCACAAAACTTTTCTCCTCAGTCCAGTGATGCGTGACATGGTACATCTCAAGGGGTTTATCCTAATACTTACATAAACTAATAAGACAATATGATTTTATACATAAAACTACAATTACAACTTATCGGGCCTGATACGATTTATTGATCGATGCCCATTGATGCTATTAAATTGTTCCACGGAACCACTGTCCTCTAACAAAACCTCCTCCTTGCATCCTCTTCTCAGGCTCCACCTACAAGTTTCGCGTTGCCGCCATGAACATGTACGGTGAGAGCCCCCACAGCATCCCCTCCAAGCCCTACCAGGTGCCACAAGCCAGCCCACGCATGGCAGATCGCCCCGTGGTCGGACCTCACATCTCCTCCACGGACGCCATCAGTGACACACAGATCATGCTGCGCTGGACTGTGCGTACACAACTGACATACACTATGCACACGGTACCATAGATAATTTTATGAGCTTAATTCACGATCCTAATTCTCACCCTGATTCTGATAACGAGATTTAATTCACAAAGTTAAATTCCTTAATTTGGTGAAACAAGCAGCTTTGCTAAATCAGACAAGATCATACAAAAAAAAGA